GGGGCTGGGGGGTGGGGGGAGACAGCTGTTAGACGCCACCTGCTGTAAAGGCAGATCATTTGTCAATTAAAAGTCATTCTTGGGAGAAGGACGGGCACGAGGCAGAATGCACGGGAAGGCAGGGGAGCGAAACCAGAGCACGGTAGCCACCGTCAAGGCCTCGTGGGAGAGAGCAGAGCCTGGGCCGCCGCCTCCCACCGCAGAGTTCCCGGGGCCCCTGAAGAGCTGGGGGGGAGGGGGTGGAGCCGGCCCTCCCCCTGCCCACTCTAGCTGTCACTCTGCTGTCTGGCAGAAAGCCTTGAAGCTTCATGACAGCTGTGGGCAACTTTTCCCCGCCCCGCCTCCCGCCCCTGCCTGCCCTCTTCCTCTCCCCTGCCCTCAGCGCCCTTCCCAAGGCAGCGCCCTTTGCCAACTGCGCCGGGCCTGCCTCCCCTCCCTCTCTGCCTGCCTGCCATCCCTTCCTTCCTTCCTTCCTTCCTTCCTTTTCTTCCCTCCCTCCCTCCTTCCTTCTTTCCTTTCTTTCTTCCCTCCCTCCCTCCTTCCTTCCTTCCTTCCTTCCTTCCTTTCTTCTCTCCCTTCCCTCCCTCCCTCCTTCCTTCTTCCCTCCTTCCTTCCTTCCCTCCCTCCTTCCTTTCTTCCTTTCTTCCTTCCTTCCTTCCTTCTTTCCTCCCTCCTTCCATCCTCTCTCTCTCTCCTCTCTTTGTCATCTCTTCCAATTCCCACAGCTGAGAAACCTGTGTGACCTCATAAGATTTCTAACAATGAGATGAGCTTTTAAGCTTCCGTCCGAGGCAAGATCTTCCATCGGTTGAGTGTGTGGTGTGTGTGTGCGTACCTGTGTGTGCATTGGCTCTGGGGTGGGCATCAGCAGCCGAGAAGTCCCCGGGGTTTTCTCACTCCCCATGAGGGTCTGCCACCTTCCCCAGGTGGTGGTCACTGAGTTATACAGATGCCTCCTGAGCTGGACCAGGGGCCTGTCTTGCCCAGCCTGCAGGATCTGGGTGCTCCTGGGGACAGGAGCCTCTCCCAGGGCTCAGCACTACGTGCAGGTTCAGGGAGAAGATCAAAGTCCATAATTAAGTGTTCAGGGCAAGTTAAGTGCTCCAAACTTTGGTGCTAAAAATATTGTATTTAGCATGCAAATTATGCCCTGACAGCTCCCCAGAGCCTGAGCCCGTGGGTGCCAGCACCTTGTTTGTCATCATCGCTGTTATTCTCAAGGTAGGAAGAATATTCCTCCTTCACCGGGTTGATTTATATTTCATTTTTTTAAAGCCAGATTTCTGTTTTCAGGGCAGTGCCAATTTGTGGCCCCAGAAAGCTTGGAGCTATGACGGTGATGGAGGCCGAGAGAGAAGGGAGGACCCCCTGGGCCATGTCGCTCAGGGCCTCCGTGCCTCCCCAGCCTGCTCCAGAGGAAGGGGGTCCTGCTGTGAGACAGAAGTCAGGGCAAGGGGCAGACCTAGACACAGCCGGCACCTGGAAGGCCACCTTTTCTGTGGAGCCTTCTCTGCCCTGGTGGGCCACTCGGGCTCAGGATCCTCAGAGGAGAGGAGGAGGGGGGAAGTGGGGACCACCTGTTTTCCCAACAGAGGGATCAGGGGAGCCCCGGGTGTGCTGTGGGATTCCCACTGGGAACTTTCTCATCTTCCTTCTTGGTTGGCAGTTGAGGCTCAGGACCACCCGGGAGCAGGGCTGAGAGTGTTCTTGTCTACTCAGGAGGCGAGGACCGGGACGAGGGGAAACACCGGCGCACACAACTTCTCCTTGGTCCTCCTTGGAGCAGCTCCTTTCCTCCTTCCCGCCAGTGTCCAGCCTAGTGGCTGTGGTCAGCGTCACCCTTTTCTGGAGGGGGCTGCAGAAGGCCTCCCTGACTCTGATCCCAGCACACACACGGGGGCTTCGGCTACGCCTGCCACGGAGGACAAAGGCGGGCAAGGGGCCTCGTATGTGACTCTTATCAGAGTTTTATTAGTTTGGAGCATGTGTAGTGATGTTACAGAGTCTGGGGCCCAGGGGCTCCCCCAAGCTGCAGCTTCCCCTCCTCCCTCAGGGCAGGGCCAGCCCAGGCCAAGGGGTATTCGGCAGCCCCCTCGCCACAGGTTCCTCTAAGGCGGAGACAGTGGAAGGGAAAGGGAAAGGGAGAGAGAAGAGGCAAAAGGGAAAGAAGAGGGGGGTTGTGGCAGAGTGTGGCAGGAGGCAGCCCCCCAAAGAACCTCCAGCACCCCAACCCAGGCCCCAGATGTGGTCACAAGCCCGCCTTCCCTGCCTGCTCCCAGCCTGGCCCAACAGTTGCTACGAGAAAGGATGCGCCGAGTCTGTCAGGAGGCAGCAGAGTGGGCTTGGGGGAGGTTCCTCTCCCCACAGACGTCCCTGGGGCCCTTCAAGACCTGGGTTTCTGCCCTCAGCAGGTACGGAAACCATGTGGGTGCTGGAGCGGGGCCGGGCAGGACCCACTCCTGTCGGGCAGGACAGGGAGCGAGTGAAGATTTTTGGCTTGGACTCCTCTGGGGTTCACCCTGTGGTCTGGTATTTACATGGGTCTCCCAGAACTGCATTGCCTGGGGCCTTGGCAGGAGCTCTGGCTTCCTGGGCATGGCCTTGTGGGGTGTGACCTGTCCATCCCTCCCCACTGCCCGCCCCGGCATCGGCCTGTGAGGACCAAGCCGAACCCAACAGAGAGCACGGTCTCTGAGCCCTGCCTCCGGCCCTGGCGACCCCAGGACGCCAGAGAAAGGTCAGAGAAGGCGGCTGCGTCTTTGGTGCCAAGGCGAGAGGGCCTCGAGGTGGGGGGGGCTCTCTGAGCTGCCCCTGAGCCAGGGGTCCAGCCTGAGGGCTGGCACGGCGCCTGGCTCCCGAGCACTACCCTGGCAGAGTGAGGGTGTGCGAGCACGAGGGGCATGGAGCCAAGCTAACACTGCAGGGCCTGCCGGGGCAGAGAGAAGGCCTAGTCCGCCCGGCCGCCCCCTGTCCACGGCTCCCCGGGCAGGGAGGTGGGAAGCGGGCTGCCGTGCAGGTGGGCCACAGGTCAGCAGTGCAGGATCTTCATGAAGGCCTTGCGGAACTCAATGTTGAAGGTGGTGTAGATGATGGGGTTCACGGCGCTGTTGACATAGCCCAGCCACGTGAAGGCGCTGTACAAGACGGGCGGAATGTTGCAGTCACAGTGTATGTTCAGGATGTGGGTGATGAAGAAGGGCAGCCAGCAGATGATGAACACGCCTGGGGGAGAGGGCAGCGGTCAGGCTGGCCCCTGGGGCCCGGGGGAGGCTGGGCGGGGAAGGTCCCCACTCAGTGGGTGCCCGGATTGGGTGCTGCAGGCCCTGGCCCAGGAGCACTGCAGGAGGAGTCCCGGTCTCAGATTCTAGAGCTGTCCCTGACACTGTTTGCAGTGAAGGTCACTTTACTTCCCTCGGCCTTACCTTCCTCATCTGTCAAATGGGTATAATAACAGCTAGCCCACAGGGAAGGATAATGGGCTTGAAAACAAACCATGAGGTTAACATTCGGACACAAGTCAGTAGAAATGGAAATATTTACTCTACTTTCTGGCCATTTTCGAGAACAAGTGTTCCTCAGCAGCTGGAAGTGGAGCATTTGGTTATTGCAGTGGGAAATGCCCAGTTTGAGCCCAAGGGACAAAAGGGAGAGTTAGATACCCTCTCGCTTAGGCTCCAGCATCCCTGTGGGGTAGACAGGGCACTGAGGGTCCCAGAGGCTCTGTGGTGTACACAAGGCCACCCCGCTCATGAGTGACGAAGCCGAGACCTGAACTCCAGTCTAGCGAGGTCCCCCAGTGGCTCGGCTCTTGCTATGCCTTCCCCCAGCCCTTGGAGACACCTCTTGCTAATTTCTGCTTTGGGATGCTCTGACCCAGACTGACGTCCTGCACACCGGCTTTGTCTGACTGACCCAGGACCTGCTGCTCCGGTGGGAGCCTCGGTTGGAGGCATCGTGAGCACACCGTGCCCCGCAGGCTCCCTGAGAGTCCCCAGCACTGCAGCGAGAGCCCATGGACTCCAACCATCCTCTGTCACCCCCAGCCACACGATCAAGGGTCGGTCCCTTAACCTGCTGGGACCCTGTGCACGCGTTCACAAAAGCAGGGTCGTAACACCTGTACCCCTCGTGTCACAGGATAGTCTGGAGGTCCAAGGGGAAGGTGAGTGTGGAAGGGTGTCCTGTGCTACCCTGGGTGCGACGGGGATGGCCGAGTACACCAGCCCCTCCTGCTCCCCACCACCCACATCAGTCTAGCCTTGTGTTTTGACTCATCATCTGGTTTTCTAGGAGACTTTTATTCAAGAGCCTTGCCTGGCTGACAGTCTGGGTCAGATCGTCAGGCCACCACCACGACCCTGAGAGGTAATCTCTTGCTGAAGGGACTCCAGAGACAGAAAGTGACTTGCCTAGGATCTTGAGGTTCTGGGGGTCACTACGGTAGACTGGTCAAGCTCACAGACTCTGAAGTCAGACTCCCTGAGTTTAAACCATAGGTCTTCCTTGGTCACGTCATATACCCACTTCAAACCTCAGTTTTCCCATCTGTAAAATGAGCATAATTATAGAATCTACTTAATGGGGTACGTCATTGGGTGTGGCCTGCACCTGAGCAAGGGCTGGTCCCATGGCCTGCCAGCCATGGTTAGGAAGGGCATGGCAGGTAATGGGACCCACAATGATGGGTCCTTTCCTCAGTAATGGCTGGACAGAGCTGGGCTGGCCTGACTCACCGAGAACAATGGCGAGCATCTGGGTGGCTTTCTTCTCCTTCTGCTGGGAGAGCTTCCTGCGGCTCATGGTCTTGAGAGAGGTCCGGGTTTTGCCGTTGGGCATGGACTGGATCTCAAAGATCTTGGCAATCTTGGGGTGGTCTTTGGCATGCCCATTCTTCTCTGGTTTGGCGGGGCTGTCAGCGGTGCTGTGGAGGCCATGGTGGGACGGGTCGGGGAGGGTCATCTGGTGGTGGCTGGGTGGTATGGGACTGTACCGGGTCCTCTCGGGGGGGCTGGTGCTGGACAGCATCTCCATCTCCAGTTCCTGGGCTCGGCGGGCAGCCTCCTGCACAGAGGCAGAGAACTCCAGGTAAAGCCAGGCAAGTTCTCAGGCATTTGCCACCCAGCCTCACCTGGTCCCCCCTGACCCTTCCCTATCCTCCTATCCTTCTACAAACACCCCAGGGTCACTCTGTCAGAGAGGCAATGAGGATAATCACTGGGAGGCAGGAAGGGTTTGGGTATAGGACCCAGGACCCACAGCAGTCCCTGCCTGCAGAGTCCTCCCCAGCCCCTGTCCCAGAGCAATCCTTATGGAGCCTCAATAACCCCACAACCATCTGTGGGAGCTTACTATCCCAACACTTCTCTCTTATTGACTGAGCAACATGCACTGAGTACCAGCCAAGTGCCAGGCACCCTAGCTGGCTGCAGGGAATAGGGTCCTGGTTGATGGTCAGTGCCTGCCTCCGGGAGCTCATGTTCTAAGTGCACAGAGGGCAGCCCTGTTCCTCCTGCCAGGCTGGCCCAAGGCACCTGCACCAGCACTCACACGTGGGCTCCACGTGTTCCTTGTAGATGGATGCGGGGGCCAAAGGGCTAACCTCTGGGCCCCCCATCTTTCCTGCTGGGCTGACCTGGAGGCCCTGCTGGGGGTCCACTCATCTTCCAGGTTCTTCCCTGCCTTGGGGCCTCAGTCTGGTATTTACCTCGCCCTGCACCTGGGTGGTTTATCAGTGCTGCTGTCCCAGCCCCAGTCCTGAGTCCCTGTTGGGCACCCATCTCATAAAATGACTTCCTGGCGTCCTGCCTTTGCCCTGCAGGTGAACGGTGGGGGGCCCTGCTTCCGGAGGACACCTGACCTGGACTTCGTGTGTGGCCCTGTGTGGGCTCCCTGGCCCCGCTGGGGATGGGACACCTGCTGCTTGGACCCTGGTGCCACCATCGTCACTGGGCAGAGCCTGGGGTCTGCTCTGCTTCTGCATCTCTGGGCTCCACGTACAGGCTGCACTTCTCCACCAGCCCCGAGGCTGCTCTGCGCCGTCCCCCTCCACCGCCCGCGCCCCCAGGCCCAGCCTCCAGCCCCAGAACCTGCCCGTAGGAAGGTAGCACAGGCAAGTGGGAAGAACAGCAGAGGTGTGTGGGCATGTCGGAGTCACACAGGCTTGGGCTCAAATATGCGCTCTCTCACTAACTAAATGCTTGGCCTTGGGTGAGTTACCTCCCCTCTGTGAGCCTCTGGTTCCTCCTCTGTCAAATTAAAATCAATAAGCCTAATAAGACCTACCTCTCAGGGTCGCTGTGAGGATTTGATGAGATACTAGGAAGACGGTGGGTGTTCGGTGAACGGTAATAGCTTCTTATTTTTACTGTGTTATGGCCAAGTCCTCTCTCCCAACCACCTGCTTGTGCTGAGGGTGCCTATCTGTGCCTGCAAGAGCCGAGCCGTCTCGCCGCACGCCTGCCCGTGGGGTGAGCATGGTGAGTCTGGCCTCCGCGGAAGCAACGTGGGGGAGCCTGGGAGGTGCTCCTCCCTCTGACCGGCTGCTGAGGTCTCTGAGAACCATGGCAGGTGGGTTTCCCTCGGGGCAGAAAGACCTGGCTCTGGGTCCCTGACCTGAGCACTTACCGCTCTCCGCCTGTTCACTGGGAAACTCCCATTGGACTTCATGATAACGGTGCAGAGTTTCATGTCCTCGGGGTGAGTGCAGTTGCCCTGTGGAGGGAGCCAGTATACTGGTCATGATGGGCAGGGGCTGCGAACAGACACCCAGTGTGGGGTAGTCAGGCTGGGCACAGGGGGCTCCCAGAAGGGCAGAGTAGGAGGGCCTGAGAAGGCAAGAGTGAAGGATGGTACTGCAAGGAGAAATGGCGGGCAGGACGAGGGACAAACAGGCCCCGATTTTATGGGCACATGCTAGGCTTACTCGTATCTCTCTCACACCGAATCCTCAAGACCACGTTGAGAGGTTGGCATTAGGATACCCATTGAACAGATGAGAAAACTGAGGCTCAGAGAAGTTAAGCAACTTGCCCAAGGTCATTCAGCAAAAAGGAGGGCATGCCAGGCCTTGAAGCTGATATGTCTAACCCCCAAACTCTGGCTCCTTCCATGCCCCCACACTGTCTTCCTCAGGGAGGGCTGAGCAGAGGGGGGAATTCACAAGACATAAGGAGTGGGGAGGGAATGAAAGAAAGGTGGAGGGGAGGATGTGGAATGAAGGAAAGAGCCAGGGAGGGAGGAGGTGTGCACGGAGGGGAGGACAGGGAGCGTGGAAGGTACAGGAGAGGGAGGGAAGCACAGAGCAATGACAGGGAGGGAGGGGCCACAGCAAGGAAAGGACAAGTGATGGGAAAAGAAGGAGAGGAGCCGAGGAAGAAGGTGCATTCAGACAGAGATCTCCAAGCAAAGACTTCTCCTCCCAGGCGGCTCTGCCCGGCCTGGGCTCCTGGAGACTCCATCACTCCACTGAGGTCCCAGCCTTCGGACTCGGCCCTGCCCAGGTGCTGGGAGCCCCTCCAACTCCGCGTCCCCCGCCTCCAGCTGAGCACAGGCCAGCCCCCTAGGAAACGGTGGGGGAGGGGCACTGGAGGGGAGGAGGGATCTGGGGACCTTGAGCGGGGCCTTCAGGTTGGCCCTGAAAGCCCGGCTGCTCCGCTTCGTGTTGACCCGCTTGCGGCGCCTGCGGAGGACGATGTAGATCTTGATGTAGACCAACAGGGTGACGATGAAGGGCACGTAGAAGGAGACGATGGAGGAGTACACCACGAAGGCGGGGTTGGCGATTATGCACTCGTTCTGGTCTGGGGGAAGGAGAGCCGGAGGACCCGCGTCAGCAGCCCGGGGGCCTTTCTCTCCCCGCGGGACTGAGCGCAGCAATGGGACAGGGAGTATGCCTGGGTGTCTGAGGTCGCCTGGAAATGCTAGACGGACATCAACATGCGGTGTAGACCAGAGATTGGAAAACACAACCTCGAGCAAAA